AGAGTTAATTTTCGAGAGATTTTAATATTACACACACACACATACACAATTAAATATTTATGCATAAAATATTTACGTATATTATTATGCATAAATATTTATGCATTTTACGATAGCTTCGATAATTGAACTGAAATATTATAAAAATATATCTGAAATCATGTAAAAACACTGTCAGATTATTTTGCTACAAATCAAGTACTCAGTTTATGATCGCAATAAATATTAACAATTATCCAGAATACAAATTGTGTGTGTTGTATACATTTGGAATAAAATTAAATAAACAATACCGTTTGGGCAAAATATTTTTATCGTTAAATAAAGAATGTATAAGACTCTCAGTATCTTGATATTTACACTTCGATAATAAAAATAGATAATTCTCGTACTCGACTTAACATTATTTACAAATGTTGCGTGGGTATTTACAGTAATACTCCAAACCCGTTTGACGCAATCCGCCTACGCTCGACATTTAATGAAAAAAAAAATAACTCGTCACGGAAATATCACATCCTGACGAATCTGGTGTCTATTTCGATCAATCCGTTGGAGATATGCGCCGTCAACGACACAATATCTTTCCGCATGGATATGTCGCTGCCCGTATCATAGGTCGCGCTCATCGAAAAAAACAGCCAAACGATATTGAGAAATTAATCTGATTTGTCTGTATCTGCATGTGTGGAACTTTAAACCTTAAAATCTCTATAAAACGATGCGTAATGTTAATAAAGTATGAATAATGAAGCACAGTTGGATGCCTTTTCAGAGAGAGATGCCCTTCAGAGACACACCTTGAAAAGATAGCGTCCCTGGAAGCCACGATTTGAGCCAGGGCATTTCCCATATATAAGGAAGTTATACGCCAATAATAATGCTATTGTCATTCGACAATTCAACTGTCTTTACTGAACATTGTTACGCGATATCCATCAGCAGATTGGCAAAGTGAAATTAACCGCGATGTGGCTGCCTATTTAAGCTGAACTAGTAACCGTTGTATTCACGGGGATGAATAATAGCCGGTGCGCTTTGATTTGTCGCCTGCGACCGAGGAATTTACTGACCGACAAATTTCCAACTTTGAGGTCTCCATGTCATTCATCTCCATTTGTCCGCTTCTTCTTCACAAATCGAATCGCGAATAACGCGAATCACTCGAAATAAATACAAAAAATATATCTTTCGTTTTTTATATTTAATATATATTTATAAATTTTTCTTTATTTTTGTTTGTTTTATTTGAAATTTAATATATTAATTATAACTAAATATATTAATATATTTAGTTATAATTAATATATTAAATTTCAATATATAAACTAAATATATAAATATATAAATATATTAAATATATTAATTATAACTCTGACTTTATGTTATTGCTGTCATTAAATTTATTTTATTTGTAATTTTATTTATGATGTTATTGATTTGACAAAAATTTTGCTCTATCTAATAATACGATATAAAGTGCCCTACGATCTCTTTTATGCTGCGAAAAATCTCGAGTTATCGTAAATTCCAACACAGATCTACCATTTGTCACTTCGCAGCTTACTGGTTACTCATTACACGTCGGTTCGTGCGATTTTCCACAGACGATTTCGCGACGAGCTCATCATATTATTAGGTTCGTTTTATCGTCTCTTGCCTTCTTCTTTTCGTTTTTCTTTTCTCGGCCTTTTCTCGATAAAATGTCTCGGCGACTCATCGATCACTCTGAGTCCGTCGTAAGTTACAGAGAGACGTTTCCGACCACGTGTCGTTTCATCGTGACGACACTTACTCGCTGATAGTGATATAAAGTATCTTTATGTAAGTATCACATAACTTTCTTGCCAAAGTACATTTTTAAATCTACGATGCATCCTTAACATATCTACATTTTTATATATCATTTATTTTTTCGATCAGCTGCTTTCGAGCAACTTATACAAAGACGATTTTTTTCGTAACAGAATTTTATTTTAAACGATATTTTTATTATAGCTTGTGCATGTGTTAATGATATTGCTATCTTATCTTGATCCTCGCAACGAATGTATTTATAATTATAAAGATAATTAATTACATTTTGTCCTAAATATATGTTTAAAGATAAGCATTTGATTAATTAATTTTTTAAAAATTCTACGTAATTTTTGCAAATTATGAAAAAAAGTTTAAAAAAAGTTATATCATAGAAATATGTACTCAGCCTATTCAACGGCTCCAAAGCTAATATTTTAAATATGGATATCGTACCCCCGTATCTCTTCACTTAAATCCCCGGGAGATTCGGATGACCCGATTAAAAGACTCCCAGGGGATAGCTCGGGCACTTTGGGCTCGCTAAGCCCGTACTCACTACTGTGAGTCCCTGAGGGAAAATTATAGATACTGAAAAAAACAGAGTTTTTATATAAAAAAAAACGAGTCTTTTTCATCGCGTATTTTCTTTTTTTATGATGACGTCCATCTGCCGATGGCTCGAATAAAGAGATAATTGCCGTGAGAATCGACTTGGCGCATACGGAATCTCGTTTTATCGCCAAAGAGTTTGCCGCTCTGGAATCATGAATACGCCTCATCGATTTGCCGACATGCACGCGCGTGTCCCGTGATACACGCGACGCATAAATTACACCCTCGCACGTACTGGTCGGTCGATAACCCGCTGGTGGAACGCAATATCGTTACGAAACAAACGTCTCCCGCGTTCGGTGCCGTTTTCTTCCCCCTTTCATATAAACTCTCCCCCTCGTTCTCTCAACTCGAGATATTCCGTGAATTACGCGGGATGAAAAAAAATATTCTCGCATTCTCATATTGCGAATAAGAACATGTGCGTTCTTTTTTTAAGCCGTTTATATTTGCGTGATCTAATGTAAATCAATGCGTTGATTTAAGGAATTTACATGTTGTGCATAATTTATAATAATGTTTAGATAAATCAAGTGGAATGTGTAATAATGAGGAAAAAATTTATTTCAAATACGATAATAAATTATTCAAATTAATTGTTTCATTTTGGAAACAATAACGCGCATAAATATTCGAGTTTCTCTGGATAAATCGAAATATTCGTTTCATGAAAATTTCGCCCGCTCTTACAAAGATCCGCGCTCATGAGTGGAGTTGAAAATAAAACGCATTGTTAGTCTTTCTAATTGTGAGTAAGAACATATGCGTTTCTTCTTTAGGCCGTTTATATTTGCGTGATCTAATGTAAATTAATGCGATGATTTAAGGAATCTACATGTTGTACATGATTTACAATAATGTTTAGATGAATCAAATGGAATGTGCAATGATAAGGAAAAAGTGTATTCCAAATACGGTAATAAATTATTCAAATTAGCTGTTTCATTTTGGAAGCAATAACGCGCATAAATATTCGGGTTCCTCTGAATAAATCGAAATATACGCTTCACGAAAATTTCGCCCTCTCTTATAAAGATCCGCGCTCATGAGTGGAGTTGAAAATAAAACGTATTGTTAGTCTTTCTAATTGTGAGTAAGAACATATGCGTTTCTTCTTTAGGCCGTTTATATTTGCGTGATCTAATGTAAATTAATGCGATGATTTAAGGAATCTACATGTTGTACATGATTTACAATAATGTTTAGATGAATCAAATGGAATGTGCAATGATAAGGAAAAAGTGTATTCCAAATACGGTAATAAATTATTCAAATTAGCTGTTTCATTTTGGAAGCAATAACGCGCATAAATATTCGGGTTCCTCTGAATAAATCGAAATATACGCTTCACGAAAATTTCGCCCTCTCTTATAAAGATCCGCGCTCATGAGTGGAGTTGAAAATAAAACGTATTGTTAGTCTTTCTAATTGTGAGTAAGAACATATGCGTTTCTTCTTTAGGCCGCTTATATTTGCGTGATCTAATGTAAATCAATGCGACGATTTAAGGAATCTACATGTTGTGCATGATTTATAATAATGTTTAGATGAATCAAATGGAATGTGTAATAATAAGGAAAAAGTGTATTCCAAATACGGTAATAAATTATTCAAATTAGCTGTTTCATTTTGGAAGCAATAACGCGCATAAATATTCGGGTTCCTCTGAATAAATCGAAATATACGCTTCACGAAAATTTCGCCCTCTCTTATAAAGATCCGCAGTCATGAGTGGAGTTGAAAATGAAACGTACTGTTTGTCTTTCTAATTGCGTGACGTAGATTTCGCGATATAAATTCCGTGTAATGGTAACGTGTTCGTGTAATCGGGCGGGTAGAATTCATTATACCGCGAGATAACATCCCGACTAGACATGGTCGCGGTGAATGCCACTTTAATATTATTCTACCGGTTAAATTAAATCGCGCGATTCACACCGGTGCCTGGTAACGAGGCGACAGCCCGTTTGCCAACGACGTTCCTATCATTTTTCAAACGAATATCTCCTCCGTCACGGAATAATGTCATAAATGAAGAGTCCGCTTCGCCTCTTTTCTTCGTGATATTCGCCATAATACCGACTTTTATTCTCTGCAAAATTCTATCGCACTAAGATGACTTTCCCTTTAACGCTTAAAGTCTCTGGATCCGCAGGTATTTTCGAGAATCGCTTTATAAAATTAAAGAGAGCGATCTTTATAATGAAAATTTTGTATAGCTCTATTTTTTGGATCTGTTTAAACGGAATTTTAAAAACGATGGAGAGAATTCCTCCTCTTTGCTTTTTTTCTATAATTTTCTTTCTCTCCTCTCTCTTTTTCTCATCTACAAGCATTTGCCCTCATCGCATCCTCATTTACTCTCTATACACCCTCTATCATACTGATTTCCATTCGCTCTCTCTCTCTCTCTCTCTCTCTCTCTCTCTCTCTCTCTCTCTCTCTCTCTCTCTCTCTCTCCCTCTTTCACACGCTTTCTCCGTCATGCTCTCCCTTTCTCTCCCTCTCTCTCTTTCTCTCTCTCGCTTTCTTTCCCTTTCTCTTTCCGTTCTCTTATCGTTTTTTTATTCTGGAAACGATACAGATACCCTCCGTTATGCTTGAACTGCAGAAGCCGGGACAGTCGGCCGCGACGAGCGAGGCTCCGGGGATTGCCGCCCGCTACTCTGCCAACACAATAACAACAAGGCCGCTTCACGAGTCTAATTCCTAGGCATCTAAGTTCACTAAAGACTAAACTTGAGAGACAATAGAATCGTCGGCATTGCGTGCGAAATTGCGCATGTTTCGAACGAGCTATCGGAAAAAAATTAGTTGTACAAATGCATAAACACACATGTCGCTCAAATAGCACAATCGCTAGTATCTGTGCGTCTCTTCCATCAAATATGTGTCCATATTTTTATTTGATTTATGTCAGAAAAAAAATACAAAGCCATATTTTTTTTCGAGAAAAACGTGCATGCGATAATTTTACAAACCCAATATACAGATTTAACGATGGTTTAACGATGCGACCGTGACCTACCTGTATGCGAGACGTCTGTCATCGTCAGATGACGATAAGGGAAATCAGCGACGCGTGGGCGACCATTCAATGCGACTTGGAATTTGATTGAGAGAAATCTGATTGAGCCGGTGACGACGGCGCAACGAGATTTAACCGATTTAACCGATCGGTCGGCGTGTTTCGCGACGATCTCGTTTCTATTTATCTCGTCATACTTAACGTAGGACGTGAATACGCTTAAATACGTAGCAATTACAACGGTGTTTACAACATAAGTCCGAATATAGCCTAGTTCCATATCCAGCCATTTAACAGGCGCTTCAGATCGATTTTCATTCGATCGGTTTAACGCCGAGATTAGTCGACAATTAATTCGTACAAGTTAATACGCGATGTGCCGATTATGCCGGTGACATTAGATTACGCGGCATTATTACTGAAACGTGTCTCACGTATTAGCAAACTCGTAACGCATGGAAATGAGAGCGTTGCATCATTTGAAATTCTACGATGCTAAAACTCGATGCCCGAATATCGATCCTGTAATTTATAGATTGCATAATATTCGCGAGCGCACCGTTCGCACAGATTCCAACACCTAGAAAACGAAAAATTTCCGAGAAATTTGCATGTTTTATCGATTACCTCTGCAAATGTGTCTCCGTAATAATCCGTAATAGAATAGTACTTCGAATACTTTTTACTGTATAACAGTGGAATTGAAACGCAAAATCAATTCTCGAATTTAACATACATTAATTTTAGATACATAATTATATTATAATAATAATTCTCCCCTGAAATAGTTTTATCGTTAATTTTACAGATTTATATCCAGGGAATTAATAATGTCGCCAACTATTATTACGTAACGAATGATTGTACAACGACGGTCGTATATTTACATAACTTTATTTGCATTAAAATAGGACACCCCGGGAATTTGAAACCGCGTATGCGAAGAGTGATTCTGCTGCATTCATTTTGTTTTAGCGACGCATGTTGTTACGAGACACATTGCAGTAATAATATACCTTCCGCAATACATAATGCGCTTCCGAAAATACAAGCAAACCTATGGGTAACTGGAAATGAGAAACAAACATAATTTTCAAACTAACAATGTTCAAATGTTACGTGCTCTCGTGCTTCTCGCCGATATCGAAATATTTATGGAATCGGTTCACGACATTTATTGAAATCGGATATTAAATATATGTCTGCTGTTCGTCGATCTAGAAAAAAATTCACGCAAATATTGTGTGAAATCTCGAGAATGGATATTAACATCGATACTTTTTTTTACTCGAATATATGGAACGTATAACATCAGGCATTATCTAATATATTTTCATCGAACGTCTTTCAATTGCAATTTAATATCAATGATCATTTTTGAACGTTTTTCTCCGGATTTTTTTTTGAATTTTCTTCCGTATCTTTATGTGAAAAATTCGCTCGTGAATTTGCTTCTATCAACTCTTTTACATACACAAGCTTCTAAGCGCGTGAATGACTCGTGATAGATTCCGAGATGTGTAAATCCAAAGACGAATGTTGCAAGGTAAATAAGATTATGCACTAGCTACCTGTTGATCCATATCATAGCCCGAAGGAGCTATTGACTTTTAAGGCGCCGTAAATGTTCGATGTGAATGCAAGTTAACCTTGAGTCCCGATATGTGATTTTTCGATCGATCAAAATCTCGGAAATCTCGATACGCCGCAGAATGTAAAAGCCTTTCAGTTCATCTACTTTGAAAAAGCCTTTCGGTTCATCTACTTTGAAAAAGCCTTGGAAAATTGATAATAAACGAGAAAATCAAACTTTGATTTATTCCTTCAAGTCTTTTGAAAAATGAGATCGTTGCTTTAAAACTTTCATATAAATATAAATAAAAAAAGCAAGGGAAAATAGAAATATCTAAGATTCAATAATTTACTTTCTGACGAATTTTGGAAAAACTCAATTTCTCAAATATAAGAAAAATCTAAATTTGATTAACTCTCTCAAGCTTTCGAATAAGACAATTAATTAAAGCTTCGGCTGGAATGTCTGAGATAACAGGTTTGATCGCATCGTTCGAGAAATAATGCAACGTTCAAAAAAGTTGCACAATTTACGGTATGTAAAATTTGCGAATAATTTTAATGAAAAGAATTTTTTCAGCGAAACTATGTTATTGCAACTTCGTAACATTATATAAAGTAATTCTTTATACGATCAATAATTTTGTCAAGATAAGTAGCCCTCCCGCGAGAGACTTTTCTCTCTTTAAATATTCATCATTTTTCATATTCAAGATTATATGCATTATTTATATTAAGTGTATTGTAAATTATTATTTTTTCTTGTTCTATTTTGTCAATGGAATTTAATAGATATATTGATCTTTCCTCATCGATATTTCCAATCCGAGGACAAACGAAAACTCGGAAGATACGCACGCAAAAAACATGCCGACGTTCCATTCTCTCTCAAGTCTCGTCGAGACGAGGTCGGGCGACGTGAGATACGCGGTGCGATAAAAGAAAAACGAAAGGAGCAGGGAACGCAAGTGGTGTGTGTACGATTTCGTTTAGAGATTATATCACTCACTCGGCGTTGGTCTCCGGCGTGGGCAGGTCACCGATGGTGGTCAGCGTCAGGGTGGACCAGTAGAGGGATCCGAGGTACTTCCTGGTCAGGGTGGCATACTCGCCGGGCCGGTGAGGATACACCCAGTCACCTTGGAATCTCTCGGCCTCGCTTAGTAGGTAGTAAAAGCAGCCAAACCAGTGCGCCAGGATGAGCAGTATGTGAATGAGATTCAGCACGCGCCAGAGATTCGGATAAACCGTGCGCGACTCCACCATGTAGTAGTAATTGTACACTCGGTAGATCTTCAGGAACCTGGGGAACCTCAGCATCGGGTTGCTGCCGAGATTAAACTGCAGGACGTCGAGCGGCAGGAGCGCCAGCAGATCGAGAATGAAGGACTTGGACTTGAGGTAGTGACCGGCTAGTTTTTTGCTATTGTAGACCATCAAGCCCTGCTCGAGGTAACCGGTCCGAAACTGCACCACCACGTCCGAGAAGAACACGAGGTCGGTGAAGCCGTCGCAGGCGAGCCAGGCGGCAGGTGCCAACGCCTGCAACTCGGGCAAGCTCTGACGGACGATCAACGTCCAGAGGTTGTAGAGGACGCAGGCCGACAATAGCATCAGCCAGTAGTAGTAGAAGTTTTCGTCGGGGTTGACCACGGTCTTGGGCGGTTTCTGAGGTCTACGGGGTCGTCTGCGACGTCGACCCGCCTCTCTGTCGTCGTTCGCGTCCCCCTCGCCCTCGCCGGTGTCCAGAGTCTCCTGGCTCTCCGGTATCTGCCTGGTGGAGAATCGTTTTAGAAACGAATCCTCACGTTTTAGCGGCGGTTTCTTCTGGATCGTCGAGATCGCCGAGGACAGCTGCACCGTCGTTCGTAGTTTCATCCACCGTTGATTGCTCTTCGTTCTGCGAGCAGAAAGAGAAACGGTCGCCAGTCAAGGACGAAAGCGGAAGCGGAGCGTGAATCTTTCGGAGGCGCTTAGAAAAAGAATCAGCTTCTCTGCGTATCGAGATTGAATGTAAAACACTTGCAGGTGAGAAAAATATATAAATACGCAAATATTTGTGCGAGATTCGTTGCTCGTATAATTTTGTATGAATAATAACAAGATGAAATTTGCGTATGTCAGCTTGATAGAAGACAAAGTGCACACCTCATAAACCGCGCATAAAAGCAGTCGTTAAATAAAAATACAAAGGAAAATGTTACGACTGCCAGTTAAAGTCATCTTAACTCTGGTGGTCGTAATAAAAACATTAATTCCGCCGTATGTGTCGGGTTAAAAAAATTTGTCTGAATGCGTCAACTGCAGTAGGCAAATATCGAAGCTCGGAAAATCCTTGGCGAAAATAAAACAGTTTCGAGGATATTGCATAGATGTAAGCTTTCACGATATTGGAATATTTGACGTCGTGTCACTTCGTTTAATATATATTTTCTGGAGCGACACGTAGAATAATATACATTTTCTCGTAAGATTCACGAAAAAAAGATTGTAATGTTTCCTATATAATATCTCGAGAAGAAACTTAATAAAATCATTCAACTGAAAAAAAAAACTTGTGCATCGTTCAAATATCAATGCAATGTATTTTTTTATATGCAAATTTATATCACACGTTACTCTTTATTAGATTTAATCGTATGCATTGACCTAGAAAAATTATCGGATGGCGCTACATGTGAAATGATCAAGTTCGAATACGATAAAGAGATCCTCGACCATGTAATAATACGCGATACAAATGTTCTCGTAGATATTTTTCCTACGGTATAGAGAGATCTCATTTCGTGACAAATTCTATTTTTCTGCTGTCCGTTCGTCGCGAAAAAGAAGAAACCGATAAGTATGGATTGTCGCGCTCTATAAATAATCGCCGTCTCGTGTATCTACGTGTATTAAGTGAACCGCGTGATATATGGGTATCCTCATAGGAACCGAGTACGTACTTTAAAGACTGATTTATCCGGTCGGAAACAATCTGCTCCAATAACGCGTGTCGGATTTATGAAAGTACTAACGGGTAAAATCGTTTATCATCGCGCGTAAAAGGAAGTAGATCAACGCAGAGGTCAATATTTTACTGTTGACATTGCATCTCTTTCCGAACGCGACACAACCAAATATAATTTTTATACTATTTTCATTATTATTACCAGAAATTTTTCAAACTCTTAGAAAATTCGCAGAAAAGTGCCTGAATAAAATTGCAAAAGTAATCGTTGCAAATCTCATTTCCGACACTTTGTAGATAAAAATTTGAATATTCTGAAATTATAACGTACATATTAATTTCTTGTTAATTATATTCTTTCTTTAAAGTATCTCCTCGCGCAATTACTATTATTCCTCAATCTTATATTTCTCCTTTTATCATTTTCTCGAATAAAAGAAAAGTAAAAATATCTCGTATCATTTAATAATTAAATGCTATATACATATTTTTTGCGAAAAACTAAAAACACGAGAGTTTCAATTTAACTGCATATAAATTTGACATGTGGATATAATAAAAGCAAAATACATGTATGCTCTGTTTAATTTATTACATTTTCTGAGGATATTTCAAATCTCGTGCAAACGAATCAATCGTGACACGTTTAAAAAAGAACGATAAATATGTCGATAAATGTTCTGTAAAAATCAAATCAATCTATATATTATACATTACAAATTGTTTGCAGTAATAGACACAATTAATTAGAGTTCCTTTGACGATTTGCAATACGTTTCGATATTCGAGGTACGTTTCGTGCCTTCGCATGTACGTATATTTTCCTGAAAGAAATATAATTGACATATTCGCGCATCCACACACGCACGCACGCACACACACACACACACACACACATATTTTGTAATCGGGATTCCGCGTGACTGAATAACGCCGCGAGTTTCTTGCGAAACCACGCATGCATGAGTTTTGTCGCGCGATGTCACGCAAAAATTGCACAGGATTCGCTATATTGTATATACGGTACATCACAAGGCACCTCGTTCCGCAGTCCTCGCTATGATTTATATATCTTGCACAAACACATACGGAGATATATAGATACACGCATATACTATTCGTTCCATTCGTTCCAACCTAATGTATGCGAAACGGAAGAAACACGTCATTCTCATTTCTTTCAGAAAGAGATGGAAGAAGTATATACCGCGTGTCGTATCTTCTCTAAATTCTAATTGTAAGATTTGTAAGATAGGTGATTCTTGCTTGAGAAAAGAAATCGAGCGAGAATCGAGATGAGATCAATTAGCTAGAGTATCAGATGGATAGGAGGCAGACAGACAGACAGACAGACAGACAGACATACAGACAGACAGACAGACAGACAGACAGATAGATAGACAAACAGACAGAGACAGTAACATTGCAAAATTGCATACGTTAAACAGAGACAATAACTAAAAGTCGTCATTATGCTACTACGCATTCTTGAATCGTTAATGTAACACCCATGTACTGTTGGAAAGATGTATGTGTTGCTGCTTATGGAACATTATAAATGGAGAGATTGATTTCTTTTAAATTTTTATATTTCTTTTTTTTAGCGTTATTATGTATATTTTTTATTCTTATTAAAAAATATCACTTTCAATATTAATCACTTGTCAACAAATGTGTTTTATCAATTAATTGCAATTATTTTGAGTTTTAAAGAGCAAAATTATTGCTCGCTTAAAGCAATCTTCCCATTTAAGATTCAACTCTGTCAGTACAAGAAAGATCTCATTGTCAGTAGTAACTTTTGCAAATCGTATTAAGGTCTCATGCTTTAATAGTAGATAAATAATTTTTATAATATTTAACCGATAATATTTTTCTAAAAGAAATAAAATAATAAAATTTGAAACATTTGAAAATTTTGAGATGTGGATGATGGACGAGAATTGATATCTGTGCAAAACGGTTGCCGAGAAAATACGGATCTCTATCAACGCCAACAAAGAAATATCTCATTGGTGAAATTAATTTGAGATCAATCGCTTTTACGTTGAAATGTATCGCACTTTTCAGTGAATCGGATCGTACCGATATAGAGCAAGGCAGAAAACGATCCACGTTATCAATATACAAGCATATCATTTTCGAGTACGACATGAAAGGGCAGAATTTATGAACTCTGTTCTTTAAACGCTATAAGCGATATTCCATTTCATTGTCGGATGCAATATATCGCCGATGTCTACTCATTTAAGCGATTTCAATATCAATGATTTATCGTTGTTAGAAATTTTGCATAATACCGGCGCTTCATTATCCACAAATAAAAGTATGCATAAAATGTCTTTGTCGATCGCGAACAAAACGAACCGTCGATATCGATTAATAAATGATCGCTTGACGCTGAAGAAAATAATCGATCATTCGTAAATTTAATCTAAATGTTTGCGAGCTTAAAGATATATTTGAGGGCGGAGAATAAAGGGACGGTCATTCTATCAGTTCTATTATCTAATACAAAGTAGAGACCACGAGTCGTACAGTAATCTGAGATAAAGTGTAAAGTAGTATAGAGTGGCGACAGGATAGAGTGACGAGCGAGTAGCCAGTACTTTCGTGCGATTTTATGTTGAATGCAATGTGACGTCCGCGACATAAAACGATCGGGTCGACATTCGAGACTCTTAATATGTTCCTATACTTTGTAACGTTAATACACTTGAGTATACTTCATGACATTTAATTTTGAGTTAGGAATTTGTAAATTGACCATCGATAAAGATGATCCAAAGTTGTATATAAAAATATTATTTACATAAATTATCGTATGCATCATTTTATTTGATCATGAAAATAATATATATTTATAACATATAACGAATATTTATATAATAAATGTTTTTAGAAAAATATTCTTTATATTTCTATATTTTATTAAATTTGTTATTTTATCATTAAATTTACCTAACTGGATTTTGTCATAAATGTGAATACTTTTTCGGGCTGCAAAGATAGAACTGGCGGAATAATAAAGGGTAGAGAGCTCGATAAGTTTATACGTAAACCAAGGCTTTGAGTTTAATACAGCGACACTTTTCCATATAAAGTTTATTGCAGTACGTACATTTATTTAGCGAAAGTCTCGTAAATTTTACGTTCTTTCGTTTTACATCGCGAACAATCGTGGCAACGTGTGGATAGTGATGGGAACAATATCAGATTAAAATTGCTTCGTGTGCGAGCGCACAGCAAGAAACGTTTTTGAATAATTCACATTGTTATTTGAAATCCATGAAACAGTTTTAAAATTCCTAGTTTCGAAAACCTAAAATCGAAACGGAATATTCGATTATATTCGGAAACCTGTCGTATACACGAAATGAATAATTGACAAGATGCAAACACACGCGCTGCAAGATCTTCAATATTTTCCGACACTGTCGAGATTTCCGAGACTTTTTTTTCTTTTTTCGAGACTATGTGAAAGTTAATTTTTGAAATTCAAGCTTTTTCGTATTCTTTTATTTTTATTAAATGTGACGTAAAAAAATTTAAAATATAATCTGTTAAGATTTTATTTATTTTATAATTCATTATCATTCATTCATATCAAAGTCACAGGCAAAAATTAATCGAACAAAATTTCTTTTTTTAGAGTCTCATTTCTATTACTTATTGATTTAATTATTCAAATTATTTTATTAAAATAATAATTAATGTATTTAAAAATAAAGAACTGAATCAAACGCATAACGCCTTTGAAAACAAAGTTTCCAAAAAGTATACGAGGGAGAGAAGATAATTACAAAATTGAATTCAAGTCATGATGCCAAGTTCCCAACACGATCCGAAAGATAGTCTATAAGAGTATACAAGGATGTTTCTGTGTGCGGATGACAGTGCTAGAGGTCACCGTCCATATCGATTAATGGCGGGAATACCTCTTAATTTTGCGTAGAGAGGAATATAACGCCATGACCGCGCGTACGTTACTCCATTTTTGCGAACCCCTCGTGCTACGGGGCCTCCTGGCTGCTGCGGGAATCTCGGCGTCGACGACGTAGCTCTCCATCGATTCCGAGGTCGTCGAGGTAGCGGCTACTCCTGCACCAGCTGCCTTAGTCGCGAAGGCTCGTCGGTGGCTCGAAATACTGTGTCGTTGACGATAGATCTCCGATGATCTGCGAAGAAGACAGAGAACCCACACGGGTTGCCTCTCTCTCTCTCTCTCTCTCTCTCTCTCTCTCTCTCAGTCTCTCTCTCTCTCTCTCTCTCTCTCTCTCTCACCTCTTTTTCGCTCTCTCTCTTATTCCCAAATATTCACATTTTCATGTATTCTTTTTCACTACCATTCATATATTCCTTCTCGCGTAATCTTTCAGTCCTTCACAAGCATACTCATTCTAGGATGGGTTATACAGAGTGTCCCATTTTAAATAATACGTTCAAATATCTCCAAAACGGTGAGTTAAAGAAAAAAATGTTTCAAACAAAAGTTGTATGGCTTGAAGGGGGCCATCAGACGATGGCAATGATTTGACCCTGGAGAGTCGTTTGAAGGTCATGTGAAGATCACCTTCAATTTTTTTAACAGAACCCCCTATTTTTTATTATTTATTCTTGTAGTTTATCTCGAGAGTTTTCCAAAACACTATAATTAAATTAGTTTTCATTAAGTACTTTCCGAGTTATGAGGCTTGAAATCATTTCTTAATTTTACATTAACCATATAATATTTAGTAAAATATTCATTTTTCGATTATCTTACCTTAATACTTGTACAAAATAATGAGAGGAATCAATTAGTGTAAAGAAAAAACATAGTTGTTTTAAAAAAAAAATGTAATAGTTAATTGTAAATTACATATTTTTTCCTAAAAACAACTATGTTTTTTCTTTACACCAATTGATTCCTCTCATTTTTTTGTACATAAAAGTATTAAGATAAGATAATCGAAAAATGAATATTTTACTAGATATTTTATGGTTTATGTAAAATTAAGAAATTATTTTGTCTTATAACTCGAAAAGTACTCAATGAAGAAATACTTTATTATAGTGTTTTGGAAAGCCCCCTCGAAATAAGCTACAAGAATATGCAAAAAATAGGAAGTCACTTAAGAAATTGGCGGTGATCTTTACGTGACCTTCAAATGACTCTCTAAAGTCAAATCAGTGCCACCGTCTGATGGCCCCCTTCAAGCCATACAACTTTTGTTTGAAACATATTTTTATTTAACGCACCGTTTCGAAAATATTTGAGCGTATTATTTAAAATGGGACATCCTGTATATGAGTGGGTGGGTGACATTCTCTTCGGGTAAGATGGTTTCATTTAACATTGATGCGATTTCTTTACGATCTGCTCGGCTGCTAGAGTGCATTTTCTTTCTCAAATGTGTATATATATTATCGATATTACTTTGAAAGTAAGTTTAAAAAATTACTAGTTACATGACTTTTAATGCGCATAGTAAAAAGATGGAAAACTCCAACTAATCTTTGAATTCAAATTCTTTTAAGATTTGTTTAAAATTAAATAAAGTCTTTTTAAATAGATGAATATTTTATTATATATGAATTTTTATTTATAAAATGTATACTGATAAAATCTAACAATAAATAGAGAATTATATATCTACGTATTTTTCTCAATAATTAATTCTTTGGTACAACACGACTTATTCTCGTATTAACAAAAATGTCAAACTATAATTGATAACATCCCATGGTAGACCGGTCGGGAGGTCTACGCGACTAACAGCAGTCCTGCAAAAAAAAGCTTTGCTCATTCACTCTGCGAAACGATCTCACTCGAAAGCGACGCAAATACAGTTATAGCCTGTAACGTATTTCATTGAATGGGTGAATAGGTTTCATCACTCATGTCTCCTTTCTCTCTCCGAGTCAATCTCATGTCCCCTTACGCAAGTTCAATCAGACAATCCTTCATCCTTCCCTCTCCTCATGTCCGTCTGTCCATCTCCATATCGCATTGTGAAAAACGAGTCATTCGCTGAAAACTCTGCCGACTGTGCGACGCGACGTGACGCTAAATTTATTTACCCGCTCTCTTCCACCCCCGTGAAAAAAATCGCTTCGACGATAAAGATTTGGCGCCACGGTACATCGCGACGTTAATTGCCGCGGCGCGTAAAGTCGATAAACGCGACAGTTTGCCGAGTGCACTTTGCGCTTTATGGGATTACGACCGCGGCGGATTCGCCGCCCGTCTCGTCGCCGTTTTCGTGAGAATGAAAAGCGTGGCATCCTGGGAATACGAAAAGCTGTCTACTGGAAATCTGACTGGGAAAGTCCAACCTGGATCCCTACTGAATGAATAAAATCGGAACTTGCTGATTATACCCTGCCTCGTTCGCGATGCACTGCATGCACCGAAAAGTCATTGCACAATAGAGAAGAAGGAAAAGAAAAAAGGGTACGAGGCACTCTCGCGAAACAGACAGCGAGCAGCGAAGCGAAGATGTTCTGTCGGATGCAAAACTTCGACTTGGAAATTAGTTAGCGCGCCCTGTTCTCCGATTATGTCGCGCGCGACGAAAATTTCAATTCGTAATTTAATATCGTAGCTGAAAGAACAAACTTGCGATAAGTATATGACGCTACATAAGCACGATCCTTGTTATCCGCGTTAAATGTAGCGATTATATGCTACCGTCACCATTGCCTATTAATATAAAACTTTGCTAAAGTCGTAGTGATATAATCTCTCTCGGATCCATCTTTCTTTCCACAAAAACTTAAAACAATTAATTTGAATTTAAATTTAACATGTAATATACATTAATCATCCTGGAACGAATATCATAAAATTCATTCAATCTTCCCCTCCGTCAATCAAATGCAAGATATATACTTTGCATCAGATTTTTCACTTCGTGCTCGCCGACATTCTCTCAATTTCTTCTACTGTGTAATGATGAAAAGAATAATGGGCAGAGGTATCATGATCATTATTAGATATAGAATGTATTCAAAAAAATAATTCGCACGAAGCAAAGAAAGGATCGTCACCGCATCATCATATCTATTTCTTTCGAGCATCTTAATGTCATCCTTTTAAATTTGCATTACAATATGTTCAGATCAATAATATTATTTTGCATGTATAAAAGGCTTTTAAAATGTTTGGAAACGACTAAAATTTTGGCACTGTGTTCAAGAAATTCAAGCAAAATAATTTTTAATTAAATACCTCAAAAAGAATATATATAATACATTCGACGAGAAATCAATTCGAAATCCTACAGTCCTTTGAATAGAGAAACTCTGTTACTTACTTTATAACTATTTATCTACTTTACAATAACTGACCTACTTAATTTAATCCTTAGACGCTTCTTTCTCTTGTCCTTCTCGCGGAATTCGTAACGATATTATTTCTACTCTCTGTTAAAACTATCCGCTTTATTCTTATTCATATAATTCATTAACGCTGCTAAAATTATTTTCGTTAACGACGAAAACTTTACTGTAGAGCACATCGCGTGAGAGGAAAGTGTCGGCAAATAATCCAATCGTAAAATAATCTAATCAAAGATTGCTCTACTCGATTTCCCATATGCAATTGCCAATGCTCTGAAACACGCTATACGGACAACTTAAAGTCGCTTGCAGTTATATGGGCTGATTTTCAGCTTACGTTCTCAGCCAATTGCTCCTTTGTGGGAGAGTGCTTACTATATTGTATTGTAACCAAGCACGCGAGACTTCTTTGTCCGCTTGAATTAATCTAGAAACGAATGAGGCTGTATACCTGCTTTCCGCTATCAAATCTAAGCTAACGCGAGTTTTACATGCACGAGTTGCGTTCGATCGCAATATTTCTCCGTTATTCCTAGAGCAGAGCTGAAAAAAGAAAATCAACTTAATGAGATGCCATACAATCTCGTATTCGTTTTTTTTAAACCACATTTAATGGTTAATTTATATTTAAAAAAGTAGTTTTTTACGTCCAGTTATGTAATTATTGAAACAAACAAAAATTAATTGTCCTTATTTAATTTTTCATTGTTTTAAGTACGATCGCAAGAAAGTTTGGAAGTATTTTGGTGAAATTTTTTGCATTAGCTTTTAAAGCAAATTAATCAATCAAAAATATGAATATTATTTTTTAATGTTTTTTAAAAGGTATCGTATGTAACATTAAATATGAATTGTCTCTAATATAAATGTATTTTTTTCGAAAAGTTGAATATCGGTAATATGTTTAACAAATGTTTTTGGCTTCAATTTTTTTTATTTTAACGATTTTCATTTTGTTTATTTTCCTTAAAAATTGTATCGAGTTTTAAAACGAAAAATATTATTCCTATTTATCCATGTCTAATGCATTAAGAAAACATCAAGATAGTTATTTTATCCTATGCTAGATTCTCGTTTTGATTGTCAAGTGTTTACTTCTTTCTGTGATTTCTAGAGAAGAAATAAAATAAAAATCTTTCTACGTTGTTTCAGTAATGGAAAAATATAAAAACTATAAAACGATCTGAATTTTCACTTTGCTCGCTTTTGCTGCACGATCATATTGTATTTTAATCGAGGTAACGGCATTAAAATAAATAACATTTATTTACATTTCAATATTTTCAGTTTTATCTTCGTAAGATGAGTAATCGCGAAACTTGTTAAAAACAAAAAATTGAATGATCGAAGAGAGTCGCTTTAATTATTACATTTATATTCAAATAATGATTTATCTATAATTGTTGAAAATCGGTAAATTGGGATATGACGCGTTACTTAGAAAGTAAATAAAATATTTTTAAAAGCTAAAAATAACGGTTCTCGATATATATGATATTCTTGCACTCTTTTAAAAGAAACGTTGACGCTAGTAATGAACATTATTACATTCGCCTTTAACATGTCGGGAAATGAGAAATTTCCTATGCAAATACGGCACGTTTGCCGGATGCTCGTAAAAGACTACTAGTCAAGAATGATTGTACATTTACGGCTTCCGAATAGTTACTTTCATTTCAAAACAAAGTGATATACGATTTTGCTTTCCTATTTATAGACATACGAAAAAAATTATATATTATAAAATAAATTTTTTAATTCGAAATTTAATGCAACCTATAAAAACCTTCTTCGTTAAAAAATTATAGGATTAAAATAAAGAGGAGAAAATATTAACGAAAGAACGTATAATGTA